TTCAACCCCTAAATATACGGCGATCATCTCCAAAAAGAGTAGGCTTCTATTCTGACCCTCATCTTATCCCCATGCAAAATTTCGTAAGGATCGGGCCATAAATGCGATCTGTATATGATATCCTGATATCCTAACTACTTAGTTTTATTAGCTGTAGAAATATTACCAAATGTTTAATTCAAAATGAAAATATGCCAAAAATATGACAAAATTGAAAAAAATATGAGAAAATTTTACAAAATCAATATTTTCATCTTTAGAGAGATATTTTTATGCGATTTTTTTGACTTTTTTTGTTTCCTGCCAAGAGGCCATTCTGAATTAATGAGAACTGTCGAAATCAGTTCAGCCGTTCTCGACATAACATAGATCTTCCAAGCATATCTTCTTTGCTATATATTCGATTTGTTGGATCTTAACATCAATGTAAAGATCAGAAGTAACCTTGTCATGGCTTTGTGATTTCGCCGGGATTTAAAATATTCGCGGTTTAATGAAAAATTTTGAATTTTTTTCAACAAAAAAGATATGGTCTATTTTAGCCTAATTTTTAGCTATTTTAGCTAAATATTATCCGATGACCACCCAAATTGGTAGGCTTCTTCCCCGCCCTAAACTCTAGCTACATGCGAAATTCCGCGTCGATTGGTCTATAATTGCGACCTGTATAGCTACTGCAAAATCCGACATTTTTTCAGTATTTGGTCCATTTCAACCCCTAAACATTTGGCGATCATCTCCAAAAGAAATAGGTTTCTATTCAGACCTTAACCCCACCTACATTTTAAATTTCGTGAAGATCGGGCCATAATTGCGACCTGTAGAGTGATTACAAATTAGCATGGACAGACGGACAGACGGACGGACGTACATACATAGCTAGATCGACTCAACTCGGCGAGCTAGGAAGATCCATATATACTTTCCTATATGGGAAACCAATATTTCGAGGTGTTACATAAATTCTGGCCCAATCAAACTTATAATACCCCCAACACATAGTGTTGTAGGGTATAACAATACCACTCCATACTAAAGTAATCATTAAAGAATTGGATTTTTGTTTTGACTGTATTATTTCTTTATTTATTTCACAAAATATATTACATATGACTGCTCCATCGAATTCTGGACGTGATTTCATTTTCATCGACAAGCTAAAAAACTTGTTTTAGATTCCTATCAAAAGGTAAATTTTCATGGAGATCTTATGAATTGCCGAGAGTTGAGAATTGTAACTAAGAAATGTCAAGGCATTCATACAAAACTTCACACAAATGATGCTAGAATAATAGGCACAACATGTTACTTAATATCAAAAAGGAATATTTCTGAAAATAATAAGGTATGTCATCATCAAATGCGACACAATGAGAGAGATGTAAAAATATTCACGAGATTTTTTTTACTTCTCACAATGCGATAAAAATGACCAACCCAAAAAAAAAATGCTCAAAAACAGAAAACATCACGCCACTTTTATCGTGTTTTTTGGCTTATTTTTTCCCATCCGACTTGCGGAATGCATGCCCATTCATTCACATGTTAAGATAAATGTATAATACTAATTGAATTCATTATGGCTTCAAAAATACGTCCATGAGTCAGCAATAGCATCATCCCACAAAACAAATAACATTCAAAAAGTTTTCAATACTTTTTCGTAAGCCTTATGGGGAGAGGAGAAAGCGCTTGTAAACAAAATACAGATTGGGTTTTATTGTTTACCAAAAACAACCAAGACATATTAGAAAAACAAAAATGACGGCCTTATCTGCAAGCGTCTAACTGGGCGCCGACGTCCTATGATGACGTCTAATCATGATTTCCAGACCAGCCTGGAGATTAGAGGGTCGTAAAACATTAATCTTAGCATAATACAAATTTGGCGAGCAATCCTATGAATGAAGTAAATTGGGTAAGTATTTACTAGTCTTTAAGCTAGACATGAAAACAAACTGCAAAACATATGCGGGAAATTCTGTGTCACGAGACTTGATACTTTGCACAGACACATTTCTTTATTATAAAACAACGACATTTCTAAGTGTGGTAGTTAGCTGATATAGCCTGATAAGAGAATAGAAGTTCAGCGGCTGCTAACAACAACGTAGTGATATAAGCGTTGGTGGCGTGATGTGTAGATGATAGATTTGACGGACAAATAAACAAATCGAGGGGAATTGTGTTACCACACATTAATTAGCGATTTGTAACACATATGATCGAGTACGAAACCAGCATATGACTGACTGACTGCGGTTTGTCCGGTGATTTTGTATTGATCGATTATTGATAATTGGAATTTAATGAAATTTTAAGATTCTCTCATTTCACTCATTGGAATTGCATCATTTACAAACAACAAATGGGAAAAACTATAGATAAGAATGCGTAGGAATGTGTTGGCCCCAAAATCAATGACGAGTAGAAAAGATTGCAAAAAAGCCAAACACTGCAACAACAAAGCCACCTTTAATGATAAGCACAACGAACTTATAACCATTTCAAGGTTGGACTTTATATTTGCCGATTTGTTGTTAAAGCGAGTGTAGGTAGGTATGCATGTATATTTGCCAATTTGAAGGTAGCCCCCATAGCTGAAAACATAAACAAAAAAATGAAAAATACATATGACAAAACCTAAAGAAGATGAGCAAAATTATAAATTTAATGTGGAAATTGGAAACCAAAACAATGTCACGACTACAAAGAGAAATATAATAATTTCAATGCAAGACATCCCATAACAAACAAAACTAATCTATTTCGAATATCTAAACTAAGCAATTTATAGAGACATTTGTTTAAGCCCTAATTGAAAAGATGATAATTATAAAGATTTATAGATGTTTGAATTAGAATATAATTTGAGTAATGTGGAAGATTACCTGGGATACTTATTTAACAAGGTAATTTTTAATATATAGGTCTTTGAACTAACAATATCTTTGATATCTTAAATATAAAACACCATGTTTCTCTTTCCATAGGGTATTGCAAAATAAAGATATCAGATTTTTTTAGTCACAGATATGTCTAAGAAATTCGCAGATAGCAGGACTTGTACATTAATATTTTTAGAAAATGATAGCATTTTTTAAATACATTGTTGCATAGTGTAACTGAGAATCTAAGATTTTAATTGCACTCTACTCCCACAAAAAGAACGTGACAAATTTTTAGAATTGAATATTTAATGCATCAACTGAACATCAAGAATGACTAATACTCTTAATAAATAGATAGGAGCGTGTGATCGACAACGAAAACAACGGAAGTTATTGTATGATTCAGGAAATGTTTTCAATTGAAATTAAAGACATTTTTTAAAGACAAAAATATTATTACGCTTAAGAAAAATTACTAAAATAGTGTTGACACCTCTTAGCCTTAATGAATGAACTTAGGAGACATAAGAGCAATTTTGTAATTAAGTTTAATGCGGGTCACAGGCAAGAGTGATTGTTGTTCTCTATCGGTCTTGAAGTAAACATACGAATTTGTTGATTATCACAATTGAAATATTGAGAGACACGCGTAAGCATTTAAGATTCATTATAGTATTTTAAATGGAGAGTATAAGTGGAATTAATTAAAAAATATAACCTAAATGCAGAACACCCCAATGTTGTAACATTTTATTGTAATTTATGGAATTTTGAGTAGAATTTTTCATGTTATGCTCCAAGCCCTAATTCCTTGAAACGCATTAGAAGTTTTAATAGTATGCAATTATAAGATCACAATGAAACCTACTGCAATCAACAAAAACTAAACAAATTAAAGAATCTGCAATTTTAGTAATAAAATTACATGGTTTACGAATTTTTGTTTTAGCAGTTTTTCATCGTAAATTCATTAACCAAACTAATTTATAGAGATGACTTCAAAAAGGTACTGGTAAAAACATTCAAGTATTGATGGACCTCCTTAAATAGTGAGGATATTCCAAAGAATATTTTCGAGATCGTGACACTGGCATAACCAAGGTATATTTTACTACAAAACGCAAAATGTTGAACAATAAATGTCAGACATTTTATAAAACTAGATTATCAGAACAAGCTACGGCACTATCATCTTTAGAAGGTATCACTGAAGACATTTCCAAAAAAATCTTGTAATCACCGTTTCAAGTTTCAAAAAGAGTTGCTACTTATTTTGTTTTTCAATTTTAAAAAGTTATTGTTATTTTGACATTTATTATTCACAGTTGGCCCGCCTTGGACACCACAGTTATAAAAAATATAGGGGTTTTGTGTACGACACTAATCGGTTCTTATATAGACAATATATTTATGGGGTGATTTCCCACCGTACACCTACATATTTACGGTAAATTCCTAATAATTTTCAATAGCAAGTGTTTGAAATAAAATAATTTACTTTTATTAATGGCAATCGAGATTACGATAATAGAATTCCATTGGCCACAGGTATAAACAATCACTGAAGCTATCAAAAAATTGGTAAATAGTGGCGCGATTTAAAATGACTTGTAAGAAATATAAAATATATACAAATTGGAAAAGTTCTATAAAATAACAAACAGTAACTAATAATTAAATTTAAAAAAAATTAGATGCATCTGTTTTGAAAATAACTACCACTATATTCAGTCTCGATATTTTGTAGAAATTATTTGTCTTATCTTCAGTATTAAAAACAAATATTCTACTTCCTCGATCGAAGCAATAAAAAAGCAAATATGTCTACAAAACATAGAATGAAATCAACTCTTCTTCTTTCTTTTTTCTCGCTAAACAACAAAACACTTTAGTGGAACATTTCAAGAGATGTGCGGTGGTGTTCTATTGGCAACGAAATAATGACTAATTTTAACCGTTAAAAAATATCGGATGTTCCTCCTATGAAATTGCGCAATGTAAAAGGTTATTTGGGAGGGTTTACATCATTCAAATGGTGAGTTGGAACGTTATAACATTACTAAATGGAATTTTTTTGCCAAGTTTCAATTTAAAAGCCATTCTTCTCACCTGCTATTGTAAAACGGTCCATATAATTGATTAGATTTACAAAACATAGTACACCCACTGTAAACCATTGGCTACGGGTAACACATCGGCGGGCACCAGGAGCACAATCAATGGTGGCACTGTTTTGTCGTTGTCTTTGCCTTTCTGTGTCATCGACACTATCGCTGTCGGACGGCGGCATAAGCTGTTGAGATGAATATGTAGAGGGTAAGGCACCAGCACCGGTCTGGTCCCCATCGTCTGCACTGCTGGTGCTACGGGTCATGGCCGGATTGTCCATGGTGACTGTAGTTGTGGGTATCGGTTGATACGTTGGATACTGTGATTTGTTAGACATTCACGTGGAAGAGACCAGTTAAGCGGCGATTAAAGTTTATTTTCTTCCAGGTTTTATTTTATGTTTTTATTTGCACGCTGGTTGGCGAATTCTGTTTTTCCTTTGCAAATGTGTTGGTGCACACAACAATACAACAAAAATGCACACGAATTTGCACCACAAAACAAAAACAGCAACAAATGACGTAAAAATTCCTTAGCTTTGTCACTATTTTTCCCGTTTGCTTTGCTAACTTTCTCTTGTTTGCAAAATGCTTAGCTAGCTCTCAAATTAAACGGTTCTCCTTATTTATTTTGTACAATATTTTTTATATTTTGTTTGCATAACATCAAAACGCAACAAATATTTTGATAATCTGTTCTTTGCCACTTGCTTGACTGCAATAATTTGAAGCAATTGTTTGCGCACTTGCGAATTTATATAAGAATTACAAAAACGAAAGACGACCGCGCCAGTTATTTTTTCTTAATTAATTTATTCCGAACGATAACCACACGACCACCTTCAAGCGATTTGAAATTACGAATGAACATTTTTGGAAACATTAGGGATATGTAAATCGACATTCAGTTATCGATTATCGACTTTTGTCTGCTGTGAAAATCGGAGAGTCGACTTTTCGTTATCGAATATTAGATTGGCACCATCATTATTCAAATGTTGACATTGCAAAAATAAATTATGAAGAAAAACAATCAAAATTCAATTCAAAAATATTAGAAATATGTGTTTTATGTTACTTTGTTCCAGAACCTGCAAGAACCTATCAGTTTTACAATTTTTCCTATGTCATAATTATTATTATGGTTGTATATTTGTTTTATTATTATGGTTGTTGTTTCTAAAAGGACGTTTCGTAGAATCTATAATTAGTTGAAATGATGATTGAAAAATAATAGACGGAATCTTTGCAAAACGTATAAGCACTCAGCTGATTTTACAAAACAAAACTATTGGACCATCATTAAATAGTAAATATTGTGTAAATTTACTAAGAAAGAATTTGTAAACTCTCACTAACTCAGTAATTGACATTTACGATAACTTTTCCAGTAAAATTACTCAGTAATCAGCAATTTTTGCTAAAATGTATTGAACAACAATCAGTAGAATCTAGCAAGAAAAATAAATGTTTTTTCAAATATAAGCAGATTTTTATATGTTTTCTTATATTACGTCATTCAAAGGCTATTATAATTCGCGTTTTTCAACAATTGTTACAAATTTAAGTAATTTTTCATTCAACATTTCCAATTCCAAAATCGGTTTGACAGTTCGTTGTCCCAGCAGCTGTGTCGATGCGTCAACCTATATTCTTCTACCATGAATGCAACATTGAATGCTTAACGGCCACAAAATAGCTTTTCCAATCAGCTGATGTTAGCAATGTTAGTTTACTCGAACATTTTAAAACAGCAAAGCAGTTATCACTAAACAGTACCTTATTTATTTCTCTGATGGATCTCAAAACAGCTGTTTATGTTTAAATGTGGCCGATTTGTAAAACCCTGCAAGGGATTCAGGTTTTTGATCTGGTGAACTCTGTGAACTCCAGCTCATGTCTGGCTTTCGACCTGCTAAGCCCTGAATGCCTTCTTTTTCGATCTGTTGGTCCCTTTAAAATTTGAACCTGGAAGCTTAACGGACAAAGACCTAAAATGGTAAAGACTAGACAAAATGCATTCTGAGCAAATGGTTTGTGGCTATGCTACCTTGAATAACAGCTCATGACGGAGGCATGTTAATATAAAAAACACAATTATAGGAAATAATGACAGATAAAAGTTTGGATAATCCAAAATATTGGTTTCAAAATTCTCTTCCATATACCTTCCCAAATAATTGCATATTGCCTTAGCGGTTTAAATTGCTTAACATTGGTAACTATGCTGTTACGATATCATAACAACAGAGGTATTTTTCATAGGGTTGCCATATTTTACTCTGTCTTGTCCTATCTTTATACTTCTATGTCTTTGTAACGGACGCCTTAAGTGTTTTAAAGAGGATTATTGGACAATATCTTGTTGTGTGAACTTAGTGACTCTAGCTTCCCAACGAAATGAAATTAACCTTTAACTATCGAGGTGGTGTAAATTTTACTCTCCCTTCACATTTTCTTGAAATTGTCTCTGCTATGGGATGAATAAAAGTTTTATTAAAATGTTAAAATCAAAAAAAAAAAAATTGTTATATTTTTTGTAAATTTTACTCTCCCTTCACATTTTCTTGAAATTGTCTCTTCTATGGGATGAATAAAAGTTTTATTAAAATGTTAAAATGAAAAAAAATTGTTATGTTTTTTCTTATTGTAATTGAAAATATACAAGCTCATTCTTATACAACAAATAATTATCAAAAAATATTTTTAAAAAACACCAACACGTCATAAAATATGTCACCTCACCAGTTTAAGGTTAATTAAATTTTACTCAAATGTGTAAATGTGTGTTTCTTCTGCAGGACTTTTGGTATTGAAAATGAACTATAAAGGTCCACGTTATGGAATAGCACCGAGATTATTCACCGGAATTGTTTCAAATTTCGCATTTGAAGCAAAGACCTAAAATGGTAAAGACTAGACAAAATGCATTTTGAGCAAATGGTTTGTGTCTATACTATCTAGATAACAGTTTATGACAGGACCATGTTAATATAAAAAAGTACATTTACATCTTTATACTTCTATGTCTTTGTTTGAAGCAAAGACATAGAAGTATAAAGATAGGACAAGACAGAGTAAAATATGGCAACCCTATGAAAAATACCTCTGTTGTTATGATATCGTAACAGCATAGTTACCAATGTTAAGCAATTTAAACCGCTAAGGCAGTATGCAATTATTTGGGAAGGTATATGGAAGAGATTTTTGAAACCAATATTTTGGATTATCCAAACTTTTATCTGTCATTATTTCCTATAATTGTGTTTTTTATATTAACATGCCTCCGTCATGAGCTGTTATTCAAGGTAGCATAGCCACAAACCATTTGCTCAGAATGCATTTTGTCTAGTCTTTACCATTTTAGGTCTTTGTTTGAAGTTCCTAATGGGTACTACAGTCTATGACAGAAAATCGATTATGTAGGTCCACGTCTTCGTATAGTCCCCATATAACGGTACCTTCCTATATTCGTAATTTGTAATTTATGATTTTAGCTACACCGGAATTGTTTCAAATTTCGTATTTCAATATTATGCTGCCTATGCTGGTCCGCGTCTTCGTATAGAACCCTATATAATGGTAACTACCTACATTCGGTATTTTTAAGATTTTAAAAGAATTTTTAACAAATTTATTTTTTTTCTTAATATTCAAATTTTTTCCAAAGCGTAAATGAATTTTTTTCTCTGTAGTAGTACTCAGTAAGGTAAATGTTACTGGCAAAAGTAAAGGATCGAACCTGTAAATGGACAATTCTTATTAAGTAAATTTGTCCAGTAAAAATTTGCAAACTCTCTGAATCTCCTCTGTCAAAATAGCTCTCCTTACTGGTCTCACTTTCTGGTCTTTTGCATGATTGTGAACACATAACGATACAAATCTAATCAACATCTGCAATTTAATTAACATTCCGGCACTACGTATTAGTCAATCCTTCGCCTTCCGAACGAAAATAACACCAAAAATGTAAACTCGCCAGATAGAGTGATCATAGTCAAGCTTATGTCGTCCCCTGACAAAAACTATTTTCCCAGGACTATCATACACCACAAAATTGCTAACAATAATAAACTAATGCTTAATGCAATTGTTTTTCGATCGAATACCTTATTTTACATGAACGAAAATCTTCCAAATATTTATTATTACTTTTTCCTGCAAGAATCGCTACATATCAAAAAACAGGGTCTGGTATGTCTAGCGTATTAATAAAAATGAACCTATCTCTATATACCAATCAAAAATCATTGATGAAATGCGAACAATGGAACGTATATGGACACCCAAGGCCTGCCTCAAGACTTTGATCAATCTTTTTTTTGTGATTTAATATTAACTTTGATAATGCCAACTTTCACTCTTCAATTCGGATGTTTGTATTGGTTTTGATCTATAAAATCGCTTTCAAAAAGACAGGATATTGCTGATGTACACTGCTACAACATGTTCTATGTTTCAATTGAACAGTGTCAGTTGTAGCTAGAGCTGACTTAAAATCCCATCCTCGTACATTTCATAAAAAACCGTCCATATACTTAATATTCATTCACAACGTTTATTTAAACACAAAATCATATTTTTCAAAGCATTTCTAGCATCATTATTTTTAAATTTTGAAAGGCAATTCAACACAGCTTCTTGATGCTTCCGATATAATTGTTCTGTTTTAATCAGGCCGGGACCACGCAAAATGATATTGCGAACTTTCTCGTAATTAACATTTTCCACGTTTTCTTTGCCCTTTTCAATTTCATCACAGAGTGATGGGTCATTTTCCAAATGGTATAGAACTGGAGCACTAACTAAGCTGAAACAAGGCGGATCTAAGGAAATTTGTATGAAATACTATCTTAATAAATGCAATTTGTTCTGTACCTTCCACATTGTTGGTTGGCATAAATGTCATGAGGTCTATTGATGATTGCCAAGCTAAATGAAAGTGTTTGCCAAATAAATAGGCTTCATTCTGAACGTCAGTGTTGTGTTTGGCTAATATCATTGCTGATTTGCATGCATTTCCCAACAGGCTGCCACCATTTAAGACGTTTCGAAGTTCCCATTCCAATTCGGCATTACCTCTTACCTCAGCGATATTTAATGGTTCAATACTGCAATCAGCATCAATTGGCGTTCTCACATCGTATGAGCCGTTTGAAGATTGTGCCCTCCATGGTAAAGGGTAGTTTTGTTCATCTCTAATTCCCAAAAATTCTCCATCAGCAATATTTCTTATTCCCGCCATTATTAAACCGACAATTTCCTGGTTTCTAAGTTGGGACAGTTCAAGCACTGATCCGCCCAACAATAAGTCACCAAATAATAGAGCTATTTTATTGCCCACTAGAAAATCCTTATAAGACTCTACATCTTGGCCTGCTCTTGTCGTTTTCTGAAGATTTAGTAAGTTCTAAAAGAGGAAGTAAAAACAAAATTAATCATGGTTAGATGATTAAATTAATTAAAATACTTACAAAGTGAATTATTTGTGATTTCAAAATTAATTGTGTGATTTCGGCTAAATTCCTCTGGCTGTGTAACACACCACCACTACTATCAGTGCAGATTTCCTTATGCCCAGCAGCCCCCGACAGCAACAAAATAATTAAGCCCCAGATATGAACTGCACTTTCCTCAGTTTTCAACAGGAATCTGATATAAGTACAATAAAAAAACAGTAAGGAATATGATACTCAATATTTTGCATATTTAGGGAAATATAGAGAATTTGTGAAAAATCTAATAGAACATACAAACGCATGGTTTTATTTACATTAAGATTGTGGGTAATATATATGGGAGGTGTACGTAAATCGAAAACAATCTTGACAATATTTGCCGAAGGCTTTATCTGATATAATGAACCGAAAATCATGGTTATAAAGCTTCGATATGTCAGTATTTTCAAAACCATTTTTTGTTAATTTAAGGGAACATGGGAGTGAAGATCATAGGATATACAAGGTGAGATGAAAAAAACTGCAACAAAGCCAAACGCCAAAAATCTTGCATTTTTTTTTTAATTTTACCGACTAAAAGCAAAAAATGCCGGAAATAACATCAAATTTTAGAATACGTTTAGATTTGTTCGAATTGGTCTCCTTTGGCACGAATTATGGCCTTCAAATGGCCAATGAAACCGTCACACGCTGCCCGAATGTTGCTCTGCGGTATTTTGCCCCATTCCCGGCGAAGCGCTTGCTTGAGGTGATCGACACTTTGGTATTTTTTTAATGCCAACCTTGCTTTCGAAAGTACTCCAGACACAATAGTCCAACGGACTGGTATCCGGAGATTTTGGTGGCCATTGTGCGCTGGAAATAAAGCGAGGAACTTCATTTTGAAACCATTATTGGGTGGGTCCGATGGTGCTGAATCCTGTTGTAATGACCAAGGTCTGCGGCCAAAATGTTTGCGTGCCCAAGACTTTAATACACCCTCCAAAATATTTATTCTGATGCCACGGTCGATTAATACGAGCGGAGAGCGGAGGCTGCTATGGCGGCCCACAACATCGCCATGGCCGGTGCTTGAGTTCTGGTGGCCAACCCAAGGTGCACATTTTCAGCTGACCTCTTTGGCTAGTAAACACGATCATTTTGTTTGTTTACAAACTGCTGGACAACGAATGTTTTCTCATCGGAGAAAACAAATTCGGCAGTTCACCACCTTCAGCCAAGCGAAGCAACTCCTTAGTTCTTTTGAGTCTATTTTCTTTCTGTTGCGGTGTTAGTTATTGCACTTTTTGGAATTTGAATGGCTTTACTCCGAACTCATATGTTTAGATCACGATCCATTTTTTCGGCCACCGCGACGTGGGTTTCGATCAAGTCGCTTCGTTACTTTCCGAACCATTCCTGCTGATATAGCTGTTTTCTTTCGTCCACTTTCTTGACGTTAGGCTACGCTACCATTATAACGGTAACGAGCGATGATATGAGACACAAAAGATTTATTCACATATAAACGCTGGAGTGCTCTAACGATAGCCACTTGTTGTTTTCCAGCCAAATATAAAGAAATCACGCTATCACGCTTGAATTCCATCACGAATAACTTTTTTTCTGGAAAATTCTCACCAAAATGCTTTTGTACGCTTGTAAAGAATATAATGAGCTGTCACTGGAATAATTTTAACAGCTGTCGGACGAGTGGCTTAGAAATGAAGTTGGTTGCAGTTTTTTCATCTCACCCTGTATGTTAGTCCAAATTTATATTCGGCGAGTTATCTGGGGGAGTGGAAATGGAAAAAAATGCTCGTACGTATATGTTCGTATGTTTGTACAAAAAAATCCGCTATGGTAATTCAAGAAGAATGCTCTGATTTAGTCTGATATTGACAGTATAACTATGGGCTTATTAGGATAATTCGACAAAGAGTACTTCTCGAATGATAGACGGACGGATTGTATGACAAACGCTGGACTGACACAAACGTAGTGCACCTATATGTTATTTGGCCACAAGTTTGGACACTAATATTAAATGTAAAATTTGACAACCTTATAAGAGATTCACGATCATTTAAAATTTTGACCTAGTTTTCATACGGATGCCACAATTGATTTGATTTTGACTATAGGAAAATACGAAAGGTAAGGGTTGTTGGTGACTCATTTATGAGAGTTGTGCACACCAAACAGATGTACCGATTAGATGCTAGATTAACTCCATACGAAGTGATTCATAATCATAAAGCTGGAGATACAACAAGAACACATATTTACTCACTTTATATTTTTTAATAATGGATGCTGGCTTTTATCAATTTTATTCTTAAGTATTGACAAGTCATCGTTCAGAATCCATCGTAAACTTAAGTTTGTGGTTGAATAGCCCACGGCTTGTTTTGCTTCTTTTATAGTTTGATTCCATTTACAATTTCCATGCAAGGGTTCCAACCATTGAAAAGGATGTGTACTTCGTTTTGTAGTGTTCAGTTGTGTAAGTTGTATGTGACCGGATAACGATATACGATGATAATGTTTAAGTATTAATATTTTCCTCTTTAATACACTTAACATCGTACTTATATAACAACGGCGCGATTAAGAATGACTTAGGTGGAATTAAAAACAAACTTAATACAATATAATTTTTATCTTAAGTTTTTCTGCACTAAACGCTGATCTCCTCGGATATGGAGTTGATATTGAACTAAAGAATATTAAATTGCCAGTTACTTGGACTAGAAACACAATACTTCAATACCTAAGTTGTATTCACATATTATTAATTACTATATAATTACTAATGTTTAGCCAATAATAATTCTGTGATAATTTGCATAAATTATAACAAATTATTGGGTCATAGCACAGATCTGAGGTTTTATTGATTATCCAGTCAGACCTCATTTTCATAAGACAGAGTTTTCATTAAGCAAGTCTACTTGCGGCATTTCTCGGTTTGTGGGAGAGAAAGGTAATAAGAGGAAAAATTTGTAATGACAGAAAATACTGTGATGAAAAATTGCAATACAGTCTTTGTTATTGATCAGTCTAATGACATATATTAATATTGAGTTAATAGAGTTGTAAGAATAGGTTTTTGTAAAATTTTATTTTCTAACATATTACAAAAAAAAGATTAGTTATGTATACATACTAAGTAGGTAATTGGTATAACCTTTTTGTGCGAGCGATCAAAGACTAGCTTCATAAAAGGAAAACGAAAAAACTGGGTCAGCATTTAAAATAATAGCTTAAGTAAATCTAAAGAGTGTAGTCACTAAGAAGCGTTCAATTTTTTAGACGGGCCCTTCCACGAAACACAAATTGGTCCTCAGCCTTGATTGATTTTTGGAGCCATTGGTCGACATGCAATCATACAAACTGGAAACAATCCCTTGGGAAAGTTCTTTTGTTTTGTAATTTTTATTATGCGATAGCCAGCTTCTTCAAGGAATTTTTCATATTCGGTCAACGGCCTCGTCACCGAAGAATCGGTGTCGTCTAAAACTGTACTATTCGATGAACTTACATTCTCCTTCATGACAAATAGACCACCCTCAGCTAAACCAACTTTTACACGTTTGAAAAATTTTAGCAAATCTTCATCCGTCAAGTGACCCAGAACCCATTGCGACCACACTACATCGTATTTCTGTGGAGTTGGAATAAACTCTTGCAGTCCCACATTATAAATTTCTCCCAATCGTTTGGGATAACCAAGCGTTGAACCCATATCTGTTACACAATAATCTCGTGCCTTTTCTGCAAAGGCAGGGTCTTGTTCAACAAGATCCACTTTTTCAAAGAGAGGCATAAGTAAGTTCTTTGTAACTCGACCAATGCCTGCTCCACAGTCCAAGGCATACTTTTTGTGCATATCTTTGATTTTTAATTCTCGTAAGAAGCTGGTCGACGCCTGTATGTCGACAGCATTGATATATCCCAATCCACCAAGCATTCCATTTACAGTTGGAGGAACCTCTGACCAGTATTTTTGTGCTTTAATATAAAATTCTTGCTTTGCATCTGTGCAATTCTCTTCGCCTGCCGTTTTTGTGACATCTTGTGCGTGTGAGTCCTGTGGTTCCTCCATTGTGTGCTAGATGTATCAAACCAGCATGAACTACAGAAAATCGTAATTAATAAAACATATTTTCAATATTCAATTTTTATTACTATTATTCAATATTTATTAACAAACACGCTACCTGTCCAACAAATGGAAATCCAATTCCTCCAATTCCAACCAAGTTGTTCAGGAGTTTATTGTCTCTGCTTCAAGCGTGTCAAGCCATAGACAAATGAAGATATAGACAACGAAAAGTTAGTTTTGTCTTTTTATCCAGGTGGCTCTCAACATGTTTTGCAGAGTCAACATGCTGATTTACGCGTTCAACCCACTCGACTTCGAAACACATTTTATCGTTTTTTAAGAATTTTACTTGATTATTCCGGGATTTTTTGATGTCATCACGTAATTTTCACATTTATTTTATTATGGAACAATTTCCAACTGACAAATATACTACAGTTTTTGTTATTTTTAACGTTTTATAATTGAGTGACTTCAATATTCCCACTCAAACCCCTGAAACGATATAGGCGACATCTGTTGATTCGATTTTTTTCGAAGATAAACGGTGAGAGCATTTCGTTGTCTATATTTTCATTTGTCTATGGTCAAGCGTGGTTGGTTGTTCGTTGAAACGAAACGAATATGAAGGCCACAAAGGAATACCTGATAAAAAATAAACAGAAAGCAAAGACTCGGGGTACTCTGTTGTTTACGAATGAGTGTAATGCATAACGCCCGGGTACTCTGTTGTTTACGAATGAGACATGAGAAAATTGAACATCTTCACTAAAGAGCGCGGAACTAGCTGCTACTATCGTTTGCCGAACTCGACTATGGACTTGGGTGGAAACCGAGTACTCGACTATTCATAGTCGATTTCAAATTCCTGTTCTCGGGCTGGACACGTTACCTGGGGCTCCCGTTGTAGTTCGTGCAATTTTGAATTTGTATTCAATGTTAAAAAAAAAAAGGTAAAGTCATGCTATCATATGTTTACAATTTTTTCAAAACTATCCATTGGACAATATTTCATTGTCACAATGTATATTTATAAATACAATATATACACAAAGCTAATGCAGGAACACAATTGGAGCGAACGACGAATTTTGCCCTACGCCGCGTAAATTCGTCGTATGGAACACAATACCGACGAAATTATAAAACAGCTGATGAAGTTGTTTATAGCATGTTTCCATTGAAAACCGAACAATGTTGTTCGCTCTCAGAATTAGGTACACGAATTAACCCGTTCACACGGCACTATTCGTAATTCATAGCAAAATAATTCATTTTTTCAAAAATTTTGTTTGTTGATTTTAATGGGAATTTATACTAAAATACATTAAATTCTCACTAATATGAGTAGAAGAAATGATTGTTTTTCTCCCAAAGATTTATTATATCATTAATTTTATAATTTTCATTCATGTTTTCAACTTTTTGTGTAAATGTTGACATTGTCGCAACTGTTCCATACGTCTGCTACGACAAGCTGTGGAATGGTCAACGGACTATCTCTTCTGGTCCTGTGCCGATATTGATATTCTTACTCGAAAAGATTTCAGGGAAACTTGCTCAGGTAATGGCAAATATTTCCCCTCTCGCTGCAAATGCGAAAAGGGTTTCTATGGACCCCAGTGCCAATACAAGGACGAGTGTACCAGCAATGCCGATTGTGGCATCCAAGGGAAATGTATTGACATTCAGGGAACAACTTTGCCACGAAAGCAATGTTTCTGTAATTTCGGTTGGTTCGGACCCGGCTGTAACAAGAGATCGCCCTACAAAACCACGGAAATGGACCTGTCTGCCTACTCGATGAAACAACTGTCGCCTGACTATCAGATGTACTGGCGTCTGATGGAAGAGCAAAAAGAAATTGAAATTGTACTGAAAGTGAACAGTACAACATGGGTTGGTGTTGGCTGGAGACCACGATCTTCGACAAAGGAATGTAAGAATTTCCCCCTGATTAGAGATATTGGGGATTTGACCACAACCATTGAAAGTTCCGGTTCCGGTTCAGCTTCTGCAGAACCTGAACCAAAATTTGAACCCGAACCATCATCAGAGCCCGAACCCAAGTCGGAACCCGAACCATCCTCTGAGCCGGAACCAAAATCAGAACCAGAGCCCGCCTCCGAACCTGAACCCAAGTCAGAACCCGAGCCTTCTTCGGAGCCCGAACCCAAATCAGAGCCAGAACCATCTTCGGAACCTGAACCAAAGTCAGAGCCTGAACCAAAATCAGAACCAGAACCCCAATCTGAACCAGAGCCTACTTCAGAACCCGAGCCTCAATCAGAACCGGAACCTTCGTCCGCTACGAAATCTAAACGTGAAACTCATTTTGAAGATGTTGCAAGACGCCGTAGACGCGATGTACCAGGTAAGTGCAATCAGTTTTGTTTTCTTTTTCCCGTCTCAATTTTCCTCAATACAATACAGTGCTTAGAATACATTACATTGCACAGTATTGCACCGCTGCACCTTTGCTTACAATTTGCACATACTCTGAAAACGCTTTCTCTCTCTCCCTCTTAATAATTCTGAACAAATATTGAACAGATACACAATATGAGCCACAGTCACATCCCGAACCCACATCTGAACCTGAACCAAAATCCGAACCGGAACCCACCTCGGAACCTGAACCAAAATCGGAACCGGAACCAGAACCATCCTCTGAACCGGAACCAAAATCGGAACCGGAGCCAACTTCAGAACCAGAACCTCAATCGGAACCCGAGCCATCATCCGAACCAGAACCAAAATCAGAGCCGGAACCATCATCGGAACTTGAACCCAAATCTGAGCCGGAACCATCGTCGGAGCCTGAACCCAAATCTGAGCCGGAACCATCATCTGAACCCGAGCCCAAATCAGAGCCCGAACCTTCATCTGAGCCAGAGCCAAAGTCAGAACCGGAACCCTCATCTGAACCAGAGCCAAAGTCAGAACCAGAACCTACATCTGAACCCGAGCCCAGATCAAATGGCAGACCAAAACCGAAGCCATTCTCCAAACCCGAACAGGAACCCTCTGCTGAGCCCGAACCCAAGTCTGCACCTATCAAACAAAATGTTGCACCACAAAAGAAAAACCCAGGTATATTTTCATCCATCGAACACTAACACACACATAACACATTGCTTCGCTCGTGAAAACTCCTTCAAATTTACGGGGTTGTCACACATCCACGAACTAACCCCCAACCGAACGCTGTGACACCCTCGCAAAATACCATTATTTTCACTTGGTATTAAAAGATTGTTGTTATTCTTCTTCCTTTTCCAGATGCCAAGTACAAACTGAATCCCTACACACCTCGTCACGATTTCAATCCCATGGACTGCACCGATGTGATCATCGGCACTGCCCGAGGCATGGCCAGTCGTGTGGGCGACTACTACAGCAGAGACAGATCGACTCCAAAACTTGATGAAGTGTTTGGCGGCAAACAGGATCTGACTCTGGCCACAGGCTACGAAAAGGATGGTGTCACAACGATTATATTCCGCAAGAAACTTACAGCCAGCGAGCCCACAGATCACTCCTTGACCGACACTTTGACCCATGTCATTTGGGCCAAGGGTCAGGAATTGAACAACTATGTTCACATACCAGCCTCTGGCATGGAAACCGATATGGCCGCCATGAAAGAGTTCTATTATCCGGATGAATTGAAATACCATGGCCACAACATGCAGCGGGGTGTTGCCCTAATCAATTTCTTCGGTAAGTTTCGCTGAAACTATTTAAATTGCCCGAAGCTGTAATTAAGGAAAAAATGTTATTTTAGAAAAAGAAAAACCCAAAACAGTCGACGGTGTGCCCGATGAATCGGCCAATGTTTTGGACAACGATTGCTTTGGCCACTGGAAATATCCTGCAAGTTGTTCACCTCAGAATCACACGTGCGAATACTATGTTTCGTGGGAGACGATTGGTCGGGGTGACGAAATGCGTTGGCACATTGAAACTTCAAACACCCAGACCTGGACTGGCATTGGATTCAGTAATGATGAGAAGATGTCTCAAACGGATTCCATAATTGGTTGGGTTGATCGCAATGGACGCCCCTTCCTCATGGACACCTGGATCAATGGTTATTCTTCTCCCAAGCTGGACGACCGTCAGGATCTTTACAATGCCGAGGGTCGCATAGAGAAGGGTGTAACCATTTTGGAATTTACCCGCAAAAGAATTAGTAACGATGCTCAGGTAAGGGGGTTGAGGTGGATGAAGCTACCAATTATGGGAAATTTAACATTCTCAGTATATCTCAGCATAATTAATGAGAGTAGTGACTGATTTATGCACGCTCAGACGAAACGACTATGACTACAATCGTGGAATTTGGCATAAGGATCGCTTTTGGTGCAATGGAGTACAATTTTGAAAATTCGAGCCAGAAGGATACAAAAAATAGCCTATTGTTCAAAGCCATATGCCAATGTTATTGAGCAGTCGGTTAAAGCTAGAAATCCTGATTTTTGTATGTGGGTTGGCCAATTTCAAAATATTGAGGAATTTGGTGTGAGGGTGTGGTTGGGATTGTGAAGATTGGGACGTGAAATAAACGAAAAACAATAAAAAGTACTAAATATCTTAGAGTTGGTATTGAGTGATAGCAATTTGAAATTTCGTACCTAGGTTTGCCTGTGATGAATATAATTGTGTGGAGAAAGTTCTTAAATGTACTAAATATGCATATGAGGAGACCGACTATACCTGGAATGTTGGAATTTGATATGAATGTCACAAACCACACAGGCAATATTTTACAAAGGATTTTACTTCCTTAAAAGCTGAACTACAGACAATTTGGGCCGAAAATATGGCTAAAACATTTAGAATATCTTTGATAGGTCAATGCTGTTATATGGGGGTTCACAGAATGTGCACCCATCTCCGAACTTAACCTATCTATGGATTTGTTCGAAAGATATTTAGATTACAACAGACAGACGGGCACCGTCAGATCAGAAGCCATTTTTATACTGTCAGCCTTATGACTACAGAGGGTATATATCATTTGTCGAAACAACGGTTTTAGACCCTAGGTCTCTTTGGACCAAATACGTTTCAGGTCATTTGGAGTCGATGTAAGGTTGTTCGTCTGTCCAGACTCTCGAAGGGAGTATCCAATTTGATCCAAACCTGGTAAATTTTAATATTATCGTCAAACTTAGATCGAGTTCGGAGATGGGCAATATCTCACCAGAAGGAACCTCCCCACAAAAAATCAACATTTTCACAGAAAAAGGGCAACATCGTTCCACTTCATAAAATACCTCCTCCAAAATGGGTCAAAGTTATAAATTATTACAGCTCTCATTAAACTCGAAATAAGCATCCGATTCTCTTCTAATTTCAAATATCGGTTCACTCCTTCTGATACTATCCCACAAATGAGTCAACATTTTCAATAACCGTGAAGGTCATAAATTTAGATCATTTTCAAACTCTGCACATCACAATATTTTTATCGTCACAAGATCAGGTGTGAAGTTGGAATATATCAGACCACTCCATCTGGTAACCCCGCCCACAACGGGTCTAAATTTTGAATTATTATATCTCTCATAAAATGAGAAATAAACATCAGTTTCTCTTCAAATTTCACACAACACAAAGTCGGGTGTGAAGATGACAGATATCGGCCTACCCTTCTGGTATCTCCCCCGCAAAGGGTAAAAATTTAACCTGCGAAACAAGTCAGCGATTCTCTTCAAACTTTGTATATCTAAAAAATTCCATCAAC